TTTAAAAGTACCAAATTAAAGCAATAATATTAAATACAAGAGGCAAAGAAAAAATGAAATTCCATTTACACCTGATATATTCTATTTAGAATAAAAGTTTTTACTAGGGAACATTTGATGTGACTTGGTTGGTTTTTTGTTGTTTTTTTCTTCCTTACCATGGCATGGCACAACCATCTGCAGTTATAACTTGGAACACAGTTTGGTGAAGGACACTTTACTATTCATGGTTTGTAGACATCTGAAGGAGCAGGGAGCTCTCCAGGCCTAGTCTGCCGGGAGTTACTCTGGTAACCTGAAGGCCACAAGCCACACTTCTGAGGGTTTGGATTCACCAGCAGATTTGCTGGAGAAAGATGGGCAATCTCTTCCGATGCTACTTAGTCTAAGAAACCCTATGGAGGGTAAGCTATGTTCAGGTCTTAACTGGATGGTAATGAGTGAGTGAAGAGGCCAACGTGCATCTTTCAGGAACTCAGGGAATCTGCAAAGCTGTCTCCCCGGTGGCTTACATAAGCCAGCTTCCTTTGTCTCAGCTGGTGATAAAACACAACCCACCAAAACACAAGCTCTCTTTAAATTTTGCACCGCCAACACTGTTAAGAGTGTGTTCCTGTTTCCAACTTTTTCTATCTTCCAATTCTCCTCAAAATATTTGTTCAAAACCCACTCTCCACTATCTATCTTGCAACCAAATCTGACCTTGGTGTTGAGTCTGCCTAACAGGAGAGACATTTTAACAACCTTCTGCTCTTGATAGAATCAGTTTATTCTTCCCAATAATTCATTGCAGATGAACCTGGTTGCCATCCTCGGCTGGGTCACACTGTGATACCAGCAAGTTACGTACTATTGTTTACAACTTGGCTATTATCTTTGGCCCAGAATAAAATTTTTACAGTTTACTTTTTTAAAAGGCAGCTTGCTGTGGTAACATACATTCTCAAAGACAGAGACGGAAATTATGGACTAAAGGAATCTTTTTAAAAAAATTCATATAAATTCTGCTTCTATTTATCAAAATAAAGTAAGGAACCAAAACAATACGTCTTACTGTTAAGAATCAGCGTTATGTCTCTTAATATTTACAGAGGTTGTAAGCAGGAAGCAGCTAGTACTATTTTAACATCTTATAACTTACTTAGTTTTATGAGAATAAAGATAATTAAGAAAATGTAACAGGGTAGAGCTAAAAACTTAAGAAACATAACTAGAAAATCTCTCCTGACACAGAGAAATTAAGGAAAAAGTATTTTTTTATGTATGTATGAACAGAGCAAATAAAGTGATCTATGTGTAGCACGATCAAAACAAAACAAAACAAGGATTGTTTTCAGCCTCTAGAGAGGTCTCCGTATTTTTCATTAGGGCTCCTACATGTATCTAAACTGCCATCCACACATATCTGAACTCTTTAACTCTGCACCATCAGTGGAGGAATCTGAGTATTTTCAAGCATCACAATCTTGGGTTATCCTATTTGTAAATCTATAACCTCTGTGTTATTATGGTTTTATGTGGGAGTCATCGTGACAAAACCATGCTAGTGCCTTTCTTGAATTAAAGTTTTAAAAAGAAAACCACCTCCTCTCTTCTTTATACAACACTTGTATGAAATGTTTTTCTTACCTTCACACGTGGACCCATCTGCAGAGATGGAGAATCCCTGTTCACAGACACACTGAAATGAGCCATCTGTGTTGAGACACTCCCCACGAGCACCACAGAGCCCTGGCTGTTCACACTCGTTAATGTCTGCAATTTAAAAGGGAGTTACATTACTTGGTTAAAAAAAAAAAAGAAAGGTTTGCTTTACTATTTTATCAGGCAAGAAGCTGTCATTAGTTGACTTCAAGGAGATGTTAACTTCTGATAACTTTATATACAACATAATGAAATGTGGTCTGGCTTCCTATGGTATGGAATTATATTTGAAAACTTATTGTAGACAGCTACATATGAGCAACCAAACCATTTTCTCACATAACAGAATGTAAAACATGTTTGTATTGTTATAGGAGAGAAGCTAGTTAGGATGAATTAAATAATACTGCCATTGTTCAACCATGTTCAAGCTATAAAAAGAAGAATTTCAATACAGAACTACTCTTAATTTAAACACATCAGCAACCTGTGAACTACTGTAACCCTAGTAACTATTTAAGACAGTCTTCATCAGAGACACAGCTGTGTCCTCTGTGCACCAGGCATATTTCTCTGTCACAGCTTCAGCAGCCTATCTCATCCATGTGAGATGTGAGCTACTTAAAGACAAAGATAAATAAAGACAAGGTCATTATTTATCATGTTTGCCTCATAAATAGCATTTATAAAATGCTTACTGAACATATAAAGGTAATAGACCCCAATCTGTGTCTAATGAAAAATTAATAACAGACATAAAACTTAAAACAACAGCCTTTCAGACCAGGGAGGTTCTTAGTACTTGCATGGATTAATGTCAATGAAATGAGTGAGTGATAGAAAACCCAGATTCTGAAAGTAGTAGTTATTATCATAATTCCTAAGAGACCATGAGAGTATACTTGGTCCAAGAGGCAGTAGTGAGAACAGAGCAAGGAGACATTACATGGTTCAAAATCAAGAAGGGGGTCTGTCAGGGATGTATTCTGTCTCCATACCTTTTCAATCTGTATACACAACAGATCATCCAAGACACTGGTCTGTACAAGGAGGAATGTGGCATCAGGATTGGTGGAAGAGGAATCAACAACCTGCGTTATGTGGATGACACAACCCTGCTTGCTGAAACTGAGGAGGACCTGAAGAGCCTGCTGCAGAAGGTCAAGGACTGCAGCCTCCAATATGGATTGAAGCTCAACATCAAGAAAACAAAGATTCTCACCACTGGGCCAATTGGCAGCATCAGTATGGATGGTGAAGAGATTGAGATAGTTAACAGTTTTAGTTTGCTTGGCTCCACAGTCAACACTCTTGGTAACAGCAGCCAGGAAATCAGGAGACGAATTGCACTGAGAAAATAAGCTGTGAGGGACCTCTCAAGAGTACTGAAGAGCAACGACGTCAGGCTGGAGACGAAGGTGTGCCTGATCTGGGCTATAGTTTTTGCAATTGCGTGCTATGCATTAGAGAGTTGGACAGTGAACAGGGATAACAGAAAGAGAATTGATGCCTTTTGGGCTGTGGTGCTGGAGAAGAGTGTTGAACATACCATGGACTGCTAGGAGAACAAACAGGTTAGTCCTAGAGAGGTTGAAGCCAGAATGTTCTCTGGAGTCAAGGATTCTGAAGCTTCGTCTGACATACTTTGGGCATGTTGCCAGGAGGGACTGGTCCTTGGCGAAGGACATCATGTTTGGGAGAGTGGAGAGACGGCGCAGGAGAGGAAGACTCTCGATGAGATGGATCGATTCTGTGAGTGGAGTGGTGGGAATAAGTGCGTTTGAGACGGCGAGACTGGCAGAGGATAGAACGGCGTTTAGGGCTCTTGTACATAGGGTCGCTATGAGTTGAAAGCAACTCGATGGCACATAACAACAAGGGACCATGCTGTATTTAAGTAATTACTGACCCTCTCAAGCTCTGCTTAATCTCAGTGAGAGTGACTGTGCTCCTCCTGGAGCCTTTGCGGAGCCTCAGGTGCTTGGCTGGAGATCACCCGAGGCCCCTTGCAATAAAGGCTTGCTGCTCTACTTGCGAAGCACAGACAGAGAAAACCATAGGGAAGTCCTACTTTGGAAAAGATGAGGTCACCTAAGTCAGACGTGACCAAAAGGTAAATCGTTTTATGCCGCCCATGGCCAGGCCATGCGGTTGTTGTCAGGTGCTGTTGTTGTCAGGTGCAGTTAATTCACTGTGGCTGGCAGTGACCTGTGAAGAGCAGATCGGAATCCTGCCCTATCCTGGCACCATTCTCAGGAGCTCCGTCACGCTCAAGCCCCCTCCGGTAGTCACCTTGTCAAGTCTCTCAGTGAGGGTCGTCTTCCCTTTCATTGACCTTTCCTAGCATGATGTCTTTCTTCAAGTATTAGTTCCTCCTGAAAACAGGCCCTGTAACATGCCCAGTCTTATGAGACACTCCTAAATTTTATCACGCACTTTGTGTTCAGTGTACGTGAAATATTCAAGAAGGTCTTAACAATGTCAGTTAAGTGGCAACGTATGGAACGATGAGAGATTGCTCACCTCCTTTCCATGGCGAGCTGTAAGAACTGCCGACCTGCACTACATTATACTTGGCAGTTTAATCATCTATGTCCTTCACTGCATTGAAAGCTCTTGGAGAATAATTGCAGATTTTAACTGCATCTCCAATAGTTATATTGCATTTGTACATTTTCTTAGAAACATCTATCTGTTCATTGCACAATATCGCATACTTAATTGCATTCTCCTTTGAGAAGCCAAGTGAAGAGTGATTGGCAAAAGTTCTCTGAGCTAAGGGCCACAAAAATTACTACACTGGCCAGTACATTTTCCTTAAGTCTCATATGCCCTCTTTCATTTTTTTACTAAAGAAGTCCTCACTACAATCTCTTCGAAGTCTATCTTTAATTCCATTTATGTGAAAACACTGTATTCAAACTTTGTAAATAAATCAGAGTAATACTTTAAAAATAAAACATTAAAATAATTTTCAAAAATAAAAAATTATCCCTGAAAAACCCATTTATTGGCATTTCCTATCAGCGTGTGAACAAGATGGTATCTCTTTCCATTAGAAAGCAAACAATGTCATGAAGGAGGCAGAAATACACTAATGACTGCAAAGCTTAATGGGAACACAGAGAAGGTAGAGGCAAGAGTCCTTCCCAGTAACATCTAGAATACACTGAGACATAAGCTTTGAGGTTTTCCTCTGTAATAGTCACCCTGTCCCCTGCAACAACTGTCTACTAAGTCTCCTTGTTTCCTATGGGTCCCAACGTGAAACAAGAGTTCTGGGAGTATTATTCATCTAGCCATTTCTTTTTGGTAACTGCAATTTTTACATTTCTCTCTTCCACAGAATGAGCCTGGTGACATAGTGTAATTAATAGCTTCAGAAATCTGCTGTAGGCTCAGTTTTGAGTCAATTCTAACTCACTGATGAGCAGTCGTAGTTGTAGTGGTACCAGCCACAGTAATAGTAGGTGGTATGATCGTCTGCAATATGGACTAAAGCTTAACATCAAGAAGACAAAGATTCTCCCATTGGGCTAACTGGAAGCACCATGATGTATGGAAAAGAGAATGAGGTTGCTAATAATTTCTGTTTGCTTGGCTCCACCATCAACATTCATGGCACTAGCAATCAGGAAATCAAAAGACAAATAGCACTGGTAAGTCAAGGACCCCTCTGAAATGCTAAAGAGCAATGATATATATCTAGAGACTAAGGTGTACCTTATCCAGTCCATAGACTTTTCAATTACTTACTATGTATCAGAGAGCTGGACAATGACTAAGAATGACAGAAGAACTACTGAATGCCTTTGAGTTGTGGTGCTACACAAGAGTTTTGGACATATCATAGACCAAAAAGAAATAAATAAGTTTGTGTTAGAGACGGTGAAACCTAGCTTCTTCTTGGAGGCTAGGATTTTGAAGCCCCATCTCACATACTTTGGGCATGCAGGCAGGAGGGACCAATCTTTGGAGAAAGATATCATGCTCAGAAGGGTGAAGAGACAGTGTAGGAGAGGAAGACTCTGGATGAGACGGACTGACATGGTAACTCAGGCAATAGGATTAGGTGTGTTTGAGTCAGTCAGACTGTCTTAGGATATGGCAGGCTTCAGAGCTGTGGTACATAGAGTGCCTCACTGGTAATTAACAACAACAACAACTAACCAAAAGATTGACAGTTTAAACCCACCAGCTGCTCTGCATGAGGAAGGTGTGGCAGTGGGTTTCCTAAAGATTTATAGCCTTGGGAAACCTATGGGATCATTTAACTCTGTCCAATAGGGTGGCTTTGAGTTGGAGTCATAGAAATCCGGCTATTTGGCCTGTCCACTAATGAATCAGGAAATCAGGAAGAAATTACTCACATCTTTGCAATAACTCTTCTATTCATGTTAGGGGTCTTTGGTGGCCTACAGGTAAGAAGCTGTGCTCCAATACCAAAGACATGCAGTTCAAATCCACCAGCAGGAAAAGGCAGGCAATCTCCTCCTGTGCAAATTAATTGCCTCTGAAAACCCACTGGAGGGTCAGTTCTGACTCGATGGCACCAAACAATGACAACATTCTTGTGAATGTAACCAATTTTCAGATATTTGAAGGAAGAGCAAGGAATTCTTTTCAACTTGTATATTTATTTCTCCACAAAATTTCACCTTGTGAAAACTTCCATTTGTTTTATATAATTTCTTAAATCATTTATGTCCTGGCTCTTTTAAAAAAAAAAACACCTAAAAAAAACCCCACCAACACAAGTTTCCCTCAAGTTGATGTGGATTCATCAAGCACTTTTGTGAGTGGATTATAATTGCTCTATTGAAATTTTAAGATCTTATTAAAGCAGACAATTTGGCTTTCTTCTAAGAAGTCCAAACTGCCAACATTTCCATTAATAACCCACTGATTAACCATTTGTGCAACAAGGGATTGCAATGACTACTTTATGTTTTAGTCATTTTGGACCTCTAACAAGCTTTCTCTCGAGCTGGCTGCCTACTGGGCGCCAAGGTGCCATATCGTCCTACTAGCCCCAGGATCCAAACCGTTCCATCTTGTCAAGCCCTACACGTGGCTCAACTCTGTCCAATGCCTCAGGCCCATTAGAATCTACCTGTGCTGCAGCTCTGTATAAGGAATAAAGTGTACACAGTTTGTGCTTTTAAAAAAGTCAATGATTAACAAATAACTGTCTAAAAAGTTTGATGACAGGAACTGAAGACAAATTCCCAGACTTTTTTCCCAGGAAATTGCTAAGAAAGAACAATATGAATATCTGGAACAAGAGAAACATATGCATTTAATTTGGGTTGTACTTATTGAAGCATTTCTAAACTATGCTGCAGCAACTCTGCACTAGAAGCCAGACTGTATTTAAATTGGGTTTCTTTCATGGGTCCGAGATTCCACAGAAATTCCCAAGTTGGCATGTGTAAGTCAAAACGTGAAATTCAAGCGTGTTCTGAATCTCAAAATATATCCTGCCACATTCCTACAGAGACTACTGATGTGAAATTTCCAAGCTGTCTGTGTAGCATCATGAATTCTGAGGGGGAAGAGAAGTGCTAAAAGCACTTCCAATTGAAAATGTCATAGTGAAAATGGAACAATCTTCAGATAACTAAAAAAGGTTTAAAATTTACTCATCACACTATTATTCAAATACAAATGCCCTGTAGTTATATGTAGTGCCACCGATTATGTTTCTGACATTCATTAAACTCTGAAATCTACATGATTAGATGCATGCAGTTTATCTATACTCAAAGCTGTCTCCAGTGGCACTAAAGAAAGGTGCTTCGACACTGTAGCCAGCATCCAGGAGAAGCAGTGCAAAGGATTCATAAACACTGTTACTCTCCAAATGGTACTAAGATTTGCCTCAAGCAAGCATTTGACTCATTTGGATTAAGGTATTGTAAGCGACATACTATTTTATTTGTGGAAAATAGGAATCACTGAAATGAGAGAAAATGAAATACATTTAATAATAATAGTCCACCAAGTACCATATGTTCAGAGCAACCATATTATTTGTTGACTTGATAATAAATCACAGATATGAAACCAATGGATTGAGAGAAAACAGAAGTGCAATTAATTAACCAGATGATCAAATCAGATTGCTACAAGTTAACTTTAGAGATTTAAATTATGAAAGTTGCAGTATGAAATCTCAGTTATATTAAGATTTGTTTTTGCCTCTACTTTTTTAAAAAAATCTATGACAAGAGAGGTATTTAAAAAGAGTATACTGCTTGTATGCCAAGAAGTCTGTAATAAAAACAGGATTCAATTTCTTGGCATCTCTTTATATATATTTTTATATAGATCGACACTCATTTTGCTAAAATATGAAAATTTTAAAATGAAAATATTCTCCCATATACTTACAATGCAAATGTTCCTACTCTACTACCTTTATTCCAAATACATGTAATCTCTGCATTAAAAACAAATGGTGGTGGTGGTTGTTGAATGCCATCAAATTCTTGATGCATTATGATGGAACACAAAATCAATAAATTATATTAAATAACATACTTTGCTGCTGTTATGTGCCATCAAGTAATCACGACTCACAGCGGCAGAAAATTGCACAGGAGATGGTCAATCTTTTTCTCACAGAGCAAACCATGTGCATTCAGTGTGTCTTAGGTTGATAGCACAACTCCTTAGTATCATGCCACAAGAGCTCCCCAGACAAGGCACACAACAATATATTAAAACACTGACATGAGTAATGGAATTTCTTTTAAAAAAACAGAACATCATAAGTCCCATAAGATCAAGAGCAATGTCATTCGTGTGTCCGTTATAGGTAGCTGGGTATGGTGACAGAGCAGGCCTAATATTGTTCTAATACTGTATCTTCAAAAGTGGCTGTCATTTCCCCCTCAAGAATACTGTTAATTTAGGATATGTGAAAGTGACACAATTTATAACAATCTAGAATTTTAAAATTCCATATTCACTATCAGTGTATGTATTATTCAATTCTACTTTCAAATATACCACGGAGTTCTAGAATTCAAAGAGGCCAAAAGAAGTATCAGAAATAGACAAAATTTATAAATAAGAAAAAAGGATCCTGTTAGGGTTTTAAAAAGCTATATAATTTTAACTTTAAAATGGATTTAAAATACAGTTTAATAAATATAGGAACATTTGCAGAACAGTCAGGTGCAGTTAAACATAATAGGCAATGAATAATCTAATTTTTTAATCCTGATATTAATAATGATTTAATATGTTACCCTAGGGGAGGGAAAAATAAAATCACTTCATCTCATTCTTTGGTTTTCTTGACTATGAACGTAATAAATCTTACAGCAGCACAAGACAGAGAAGGAGGAGATTTTCAAACATCTTAGGGAAGGTAAGGCTCCCATATGCCTTTGGAAGGCAGCGCTGTGTACAGGGAGAACTTCCTGTCTTCTATATAAACCTAAAAGGTTATCTTAATAAAGCAAGCGAGTGCATTTCATTTACATATAAATCACACAGCAAAACTTCTTACTATCATCAGGAAGCATCACAGAATTAAAAGACTATATAAATAAGGATTTTAAAAATAAAAAAGGTAGTACCTTGACATCGTTTATCGTCATTTAGTTGAAATCCATTTGGACAAATGCAATCATACGATCCTGCAGTGTTAATGCAGTCACCTCCCTGGCAAATACCGCTGTCTTCCAAGCACTCATTTATATCTACAAACCAGTAAGAAAAAAAAAAATGAAATAAAGTATAAGAAATTTCTACATTTTCATTTACATTAAAAAAAAATCACACTTTTGTCATTCTTTTTTACTTTATTTTAATGAAAGTTCACAGAGACTTTGGATTTCCATTCAGTCATTGTTGCACACTTTCCTACCTGCCCACCTCTGCCCCCCAGTTCACTTATCTCATTGAAAAGTTTAAAAAAATTCTTTCATTATTATACAATCCCCTCCCTGTTCCCCAGTCCACCCCACGATGCAGCTTTCATTCTGGACTTTGGTCATGACAATAATACCTAGTCATATATTCCTTCTAAACAGTTCTCTCCCTCATCTATTTCAATGCAGTATACTTTCCTCCTTATTTGCAACACATTTTTTAAAAGGGTGGTAACATTTTAATTTTTAGAGTTAAAAAAGTAAAATATCTCATGCTTATGGAAGGAGGGAAGGAGGTGCATCAATGAATGAAACCCATCCTTTCTGTAACTTTTCATTATGATTACAATTAAAAGAAAAAAGTAAAATACACTCAAAGGATTTTAGCTTTATGTAATATACAAGCTTTTAAATTTTAACAACAAATGAAATGAATTGAAGAACAGAAAGTCTAAATTACAAAATAAAACATTTTTTGTTGATGATAGAAAAAGACTTCTTTAAATGCCTAATCAATAAATATATACTGAACACCTATCTATCAAGAATCTGTATTAGACCCTATGCCCATTAGCTCTGAACCCAGCCCTATCCCGAGCCAATCTCATAATCTCTGACAGACATAATCCCACTCTCCAGTCATGGAGTCATTTTATCTCATCTGTGATCTTCCTCTTCTGCGCTCTCTCTCCACCCTTTCAATTATGATGTCCTTCTCCAAGGAATGGTCCCTCCAGGCTACATGCCCAAAGTATGTGTACTACAGTACAGAAGTTAAAATAGTTTTCATGAACTTACCCTTAAAACTTTGAACAAAAATATAATTTATGTTTTAAGAAACATAAACACAAAAAGTGTCAATGCTTTTAGATCCAAAATACTTTATAAAATTTAAAAACAAAATTCTTTATCAAAAGATTGGTACTAACTTCTGGTGCCATGACTTTAAAGAAGAGACACGGTTAAAAACATTTCATAGAGCGGAAGGAATGCACCCTGAGTCTTGACAGCATGATAACATTTTGAGGAGGGGGAGCGAAGGGGGTTTTGAGAGGAAATGAAATCAGCAAGGAGAAAAGCCTGGTTGGAGTCACTTACTCAGCTGCTGTTGCAAACAGGGTTGTTGTTGCCTGGATATATTTTTTAATATATATATTTGGAGCATGTGTGCAACTGAATATGGTTTACATAACCTATAATGAGCTTTGACGGTGAGCATCTGAGACAATTAATGGTCCCCCTGCACTGGATGAATGTTGGGCGGATCTTTCTCAAGGGCTGTTTATTACCGAATTTACTCCTAGTCAGAGTTCATTATTCTTAACACACTCCATGAGTCGCTCTTCTGTTGTGTCTGCACAAGATTTAAATTATTAGCCTTTAGGAAAGCTAAGGAACAAACTCTTCTTTGTTTTCTCAGAATTTGGCATTTCATGGCATTTTGTGCAAACAATTATGACTGCTTTTAAAATGCATGTGGGGTACCAGAAGAAGCAAACACAGGGACTGTTGCAGTCTTTCTCATATTCCTCACTGTCTAGTTCAACAACGTGGCACTAGGTTGAATTTTCTGTCAAAAACTCAATCAGCATATTAACTATACCATGCATACAGCATTTCTTTATGAAATGGAAGATGGTTACTGTTAGTCCCATAGGCCCATTTCTGACTCATAGCACGCTCAAGTGCTCAAGCTAGGATGGCTTTGTGGGTCTCCAAGATTGTCACCTTTTGGAAGCAGATTGTCAGCTCTTCTTTTGAGAGGCATCCACTTGCTGAGTGCTTTACCATGTGTACCACCCAAGGGGGAAAACAGATAATACCATATCATTTTATTCTATCAAAAGAAAATCAAGTATTACAAGGAATAGTAGCCCACAGTTAAAATGTTTCTGAAAACTGAAAGCAGTACCATTTACAATAGCCAACTACAAGATTAAATACTCGGGACTATACCTAACCAGAGACATAAAAGATCTTTATAAGGAAAACTATAAGAAACTTACAGGAAATGATAAGAGACCTAACTAAATGGAAAATTAGACCCTGTTCATGGATAGGAAGACAACATTGCAAAAATAATAACCCTACCAAAAGCAATCTACATGTTCTAATTCTAATATAGGTACCACACTCATTCACCAAAAATATAGAAAAGGCAATTTGCAGTTTTATTTGGAAAGAGATCCAGAACAAGCAAAGCTCTTCTGAAAAAGAAACATTAAGTGCAAGGCTTAGCACTCTCTGATCTCAAAATATACTACAGAGCTAACACTAAATAAAACAGCGTGGTACTGGTACAATGACAGACACATGAACCAATGGAATAGCATAAAGAACCCAGAAATAAACCCTTCTACTTCTAACAGAGTGAAAAGAAAGCCTCCTGACTGGGGAAAAACATATGGCAGAAAAGATGAAAAACATATTTCCGTCAAGAGTCTCATAATGAAAGTTTACAGAATCCTACAGAGCCTCTAAGCTATGCATCTGAGACCTCAACAATGAATAAGGATGACAGACAAAGAATGATGCCTTTGAGCCGTGGTGTTGGAGAAGAGCACTGAACACCCCATGGATGGCCAAGAGAATGAACATATATGTCTTGGAGAAGGTGCAGCCAGAGTGCTCTTTGGACGTAAGAATAATGAAGCTTCACTTCACATACTTTAGATGTATTGCTAGGAGATACTATTCCTTGGAGAGGGACATGATGTTGGGAAGGGTGGAGGGTCAGCGAAGGAGAAGAAGATCCTCAACCAGGTGGATTGACACGGTGACTAGCGCAATGGGCTCTGGTGTGACAGGAAGTGTGAGGATGGCGCATGACAGGACTGGGTTCAGATCTTTTGTTCATAGGGTTGCTATGAGTAGTGCTCGACTCAATGACACCTAATACCACCATCAACACCACCACCACCACCACAGGGCCTCCACAAGGAAGTCTGATAACCCTTCACAAAATGGGCAAAAGCCATGGAAAGACTTCACAAATGAAGACATTCGGATGGTCAACAGACATACAAAGAAATGCTCATTATAACTGGCAATGGGAAAGATACAAATCAAAACCATAATGAGATACTATCTCACTCTTGTAGCAGTAATAAAGTTTATAATTATTGGAAAGGATGTGGGGAGACTGGAATGCTCATGCACTGCTCGGAGATTGTAAAATGGTATAACTACTCTGGAGGGCAGTTTGGCATTTCCTCAAAAAGCTGAACATAGAAATTCCACATGAACCAGCTATTGCACTGTTAGGAATATTGTTGTTGTTGTTGTTTTGTGCCGTCGAGTCATTTTCGACTCATAGCGACCCTATGCACAACAGCCCTAAACCCTGCTCTATCCTGCGCCAACCGCACTGCCTCTGACACACGCATCCAGATTACCCCAGTCACCGAATCAATCCATCTCATAGAGGGCCTTCCCCTCCTGCGCTGTCCCTCCACCCTCCCAAGCATGATGTCCCTCTCCAAGGACCCGTCCCTCCTGGCAACATGTCCAAAGTATGTCAGACGAAGCCCCAGAATCCTTGCCTCCAAGGTGTAGCTTGGTTTAATCCTCATCAGAACTGAGGTACAAACAGAGATATGTACAGCAATGTTTACAGCAGTGTTATTCATAATGGCAAGAATACGTAAACAGCCAAAATGCCTATCAACAAATGAATACATTGAGAAATTGTGGTCCAGTCACACAATGGAATACTATAAAGCATGAAGGAACAATGATTTCATAAAACGCTACATAACATGAAAGAGGCTGAAGAATATTATGCTGAATGAAATAACTCAGTCTCATAAGGACAAATATTGCATAAGACCATTATCGGGAAAATGGATAATTGAGCAAGATGTGTATACATGTTCAAAAGGAGGAGTGGAAAGGGGAAAGGGACAGGAAAAAAGGGAAGGAAGGAAATCACTAGGATAACAAGAGTTAGTTGGTGGGTGGGGGGGTGAAAGAACAGGAAAGATTCAATGAAGAGTTGAAAAGACAGGGTGATAATAGGAGTAGATCAACAGTAATTAGTTTAATAAAATATTATCAATGTACATGAATGACTGTATAAAGCATATTGTACATAAATGAAACACGGTGTAAATGAAAGATTGTTAAAAACACAATTTACACTCATGAAACACAGCAATGTATATGAATGGTTGTATGCAAACCAATAAAAAGATGAAAATACTTTTTTTAAAAGCCCAACAAAATGTAAGACTGTGTAAGACCCCCAAAAGAGGTTACTTCTTTTTGCTAATTTTCTTCTACTTGATTGAAATGTAAAGTGTAATAAAGTGAATACTATAAATGACGCATTCTAGGTGATAAGCTTTGACAAATGTATATACATTCAATATTGTGTCTACGATCACCATTAAGAGACAGGAATTTCTATCAACCCAAAGGTTCCTGTGACCCTTTTACTTTGATTTTTTTCTATTCGGCATCATATTCCTCAGATTCATTCAAGTTTCTGTCTGTATCAATAGTTCTTAGAACTGAGTCGTACTTAAATATACGCACATACAATCATGTGTTTACTCATTCCTTAACAATGAGCATTTTGATTGTTTCTAATCTGCGGAGGAGGTATCATGAACAAAGCTCTTCTAAATATTAAACACAGGTCTTTGTGTGAAGTATGTTTTCATTTTACTTAAACAGTTTACCTAGGAGCAGAATGGCTGGGTCACAGAGTGGTATATGCCTAACTTGGAAAGACAGTGATTATGTTTTCTAAACTGGCTGCACCGTCTTGTCCCATCCACAATGGATAAGGAGTACACTGCTCCGCATCCTCATGGATACCCGGGATCGTCACTCTTTTTTAATTTTGGCTGTTCTTTTAGGTGTAGGAGACTAGTTTTTAGATCAGCCTTTCTTTTGTTGCTCTGGGGGGAATGGAATAAATGAACTAAAACAGGTAAATTTAACCATGTGAAAAAATAATAACCCCTCAAAAAAAACCAGTTCCAGCATATAAAGATTTAACTCTCAAAACGTCTTTAAATATAATTAAAATAAAACTTGCACCCCTCCTCAGTCCCCATCATCAGGCCCATTGTCCTAGACCACACACCTATGTTGCAAACCACCCCTCCCTCCCCCACCTATGTCTGTTCTGACAATCTTTTCCTCCTTAAAAAAATTCTCCTAAAGTCATATTCCTCCCACAAAGTTCTTATCCAAATCTCTTCCCCCTTTCTAACCAATTCATAGTCCACAACTACCAATAAACAAAACCTATGAAGAGCTTCCATCCTTCCAACCTACCCCAAACCCTGAATTCTTATCCAGCCTAACATCACCAAACCTAACCCAAACTCATTATGCCTTCTACTCAAAGACAAGCCCAGATCTTTCTCCCATTAACATTAAAAAAAAAATCCAAGAAGAACCCTCACAAGTGGCTTTTAAAAAACACCAAAAAAACCCTTCCTGCATAAATGGCTCAATAAAAGGAACCATTTGCTGACTAAATGAATACATGATTGAGTCTGACTTGGAAAGAAATCAAGAAGGAAAGAAATACAATCACTTCTCACCCTTTTGATTTGGTATGAAAAATGGCCAAGAGAAGGGCCAGAGGATGGCAGAGCAAGCAAAGTAGTCATCTATTCATGCTGTGAAACGGACTAGCAGAGAGCAACCTGAATGGAGGCAGGGAGGGGATTACGGTTACACATAATTAGAGACCTTTTCTGGAGGAGGAATAAGCCAGAGATGGAGAGCCTTTTAAGGCTGAGATGCCCAAGACTTCTCAGAACAAGGACAACTGGGGTCATCAGACTGAATGGCTACCGCGCATGTTCAAATAAGTAGCACACAGAAAAATGAGTGCAACACTCGGGATTCTGACTTTACAGGAGGCCAGCAGGACTGCAGGATAATACTGCAAAAAAACAAGGACTGTGCCAGAGTTATAAGAGGAAAATGACACATGTAAACTGAAAAGCCAACAGGAAAGATGGCCCTTACTCGGGCAGCTGTGAGAGGCATGTGAACAGCCACAGCTGATTACTTAAGGCGCAGTCCCACAGGGGAGGGTCTGATACAATGCAAGCAGGGAATTAACAGGCTGAAGTGCTAATGTAGCTTCAAAGGAACTCTAAATTAGTTGGAGGGACTCCATTCCTATTTATAACTTACTACACTAAGGAAATGAACCTCGACTTTATGAGAAAAGGGACTAATTTATACTCCAAAGGGAACTTTCTTAAGGGAACATATTGTATCCTACAAACATACATGCTAATAACGATGATCAAGTTTGTGGAAAAGTTTTGTTGGCAAAAGATGGTTTAAGAAAAATCTTGATTTTCTAATGAGATGGTTGTAACATAAAAAGCCCAATAAGAGAAACATGCCCTTTAAGGAGGAACCATTCCCCTAAACATAACTGATGGGTTGTTTATCCTCTTGGATTTGGGACAGATGAGACAATGCTGGTCAGTTTAGGTAGGGGGCTCTGATGGCCTCATTGTAAGGAGCTGTGCTACCAACTAAAAAGCACAGAGTTTAAATCCACCAGATGCCTCGTGGGGGAAATATGGGCAATTTATCTCCTCAATCTGCCTCTGAAAACCCACTGGAGGGTCAGCCATGAGTAGGTTCCAACTTGAAGGTATGTAACAACAACATACATCTCACTATTTCCTTCGCGAAAAGGTTCTTACACGACTGGCCTCTGACACCACCCCGTCAACCCTCATCAGGACTCTTGTTGAAATGCTCCTATGAGAAATTATTAACATTCATTCACCCATGCATTGTATAGTTGCCCCAGCAAAAATTTTCCAACACAATTATATTGTATTACACTGATTTACTACATATTTGATCGTTTGTCTACTTCTTAGTAGTGGGACTGATTACAGCATTTCCCTCCTATTATTAACTCTTGGAGGTACATTAATGAAGTTAGTTTCTGACTGAACAACAATGTTTATTATAAGGCCTTTGAAATCCTGCCCAAACTGCTTCCCAAAAGGGTTGGACCACTGTATGCTCGCAACAGCAGAACATGGGAATTCAGCCACTTTGTAAATGATGGAGCCAAATTCTCTGGCTCAGAAATGCAGGATGTTATCTGTACACCACAAAGAATCTTTTCCAACTAAGAAATGGGAAGAAAATGAGAAAAGAATCTGGGCGTTGAGACATGTACCACAAAACCATTCACCACAAAGCAAGTGTGCTTACTGCAAGGGCAGTTTCTTGCAGACCCTCTCAGAGATTCTGCTTCTTCACGTTGGGTCCACCCTGCCTTATCCAGGTTTCTGGCTTCACAATTGACAGCGTCCTCAATGCATCAAGTGAGCATATGGATGGGGGAAAGTGAAGGATGTAAATGATGGTCACATTCTGTATGAGCTGGACAGGTTTTAGAAATACATCACACAAAAAGGTAAAAGTGAAATTGAAGACTGGCTCTTAGAGTTCTTCAAATTATCTGGAAAATAAACTTGTATTTACATGGAACATGTAGATGTCTGTCCTGCATAAATGAGGTGTGGTGTTCTAGTTCAGAACTTTCGACCCAGAATAAATCCTCTGCAGCTGAAAAAAGTTAAAATGTTCTTTCCCCTTTCAGTCGACCCAATGTTTTCAATCAGCTTGGAACAGTGCAGAGGAAACCTATGCTCTCGTCTTCTCTGTGCGTTATTTATGTGACTGGAGGAGAGAGGACAGAGGCTGGGAGGATGGCTGATTTCCACAATGCTTCAGTGAGGAGCAGTTCTCACCTTCACAGTGGTCCCCAAGGAGGGATGCTCTGTATCCCTGGTCACAAACACACCGGAAGGAGCCCTCTGTGTTCCTGCACTGACCATGAGAGCAGAGATGGCCATACTGGCACTCATCAATATCTACGAGCAAGGGGGCAAAGAACAACTGTAAATGTGGTGTTTTAAACATGTTTTGTAATCATTCATGTAAAATCAAACCAAACTCATTAGCATCGTATCAATTCCAACTCATAATCACTCTCTATGGCAGAGTTGAGTGCCCCATACAGTTTCCAAGGCTGTAAATCTTTCCAAACACAGACTGCCTCACTGTTCTCCTGTGGAGCAGCTGGTAGATCTGAAATACCAACCTTGAGATTAGCAGCCAAGTGTTTTAACCACTACAACACTATGGCTCCTTCATTCATCTAAAGAAATTCTATAAACTACACAGTGGATGACGAATTTTATATTCGTTTTCATTATATGCCGTAACTTGGCTCTGGTAAGGGTATGTAGCCCACATCTTCCAATGAGAAAAACCTTAAAATTTTGACTACTGAGCTGGAAATCTATACATATTTATCATACTGTTCATGGCTAAGTATCAAATACTTTGCTATAACTTATTAATGTCAACTAATCTTCTTAGAAAATTTTCTTTTAACAAGCAACTATAGCGCTTCTGCTGATCACAGTCAGCAAACTATATGACTGTGGGCTTAATCTAGATACGACTTTTATAAAGAAAGCTTTGTTGAAATATAGCATTGCTCATTCATATACACAGACCTCTGGCTGCTTTCATCGCAGGGCTGAACAGTTGAAACAGAGGCTATATGGCTACAAAATATTTAAGAGTGGGCTTTTTAAAAAATTTTGCTTACTCCTGATCCAGCGTGTCATGGTACACACTCCTTCATTTCATCTTCACTAATTTACCTTCTGACTGAGCTTCCAATTCTATCTCCCTTGATATCAGCAATGATCATGTGGCCAAATATAACTGCATCGTCTCTTCTCTCAGTCCATTTGACATCTACAGTCCTGTGAATCTTTCTTCCCTGCATATATATTTTTCCTCAGCTTAGTGACTGTTATTCTGTAACCACAATTCTGAGTACATGTTCACTCAAACACATGTATGATATTCACACATAAAGGGCATATAATGTCACACACATTCAATTATTTTACTTTCATCAATAGATTTCAAGTTTCCTGAGGAAAGACACTATGCCTAACACATTTATTATGATTTCCTAGATGACTTGGTATTTAATAATCAGTGAAAAACAAACAATATATGTCATTTGTTAAATGAATAAGTAACAGTTTAAACCATTTATCTACTTTTATCAATGTGATTGTTTAAGACAATATATAGACCAGGACCCACATGAATGCTGTACCATGATTCAACCTCCCTTCGCTTGTGGCATCATAGCATTTGGTAACACAATCGTCTTGTGTCTATTGATAAAACTGGAGATGGTTCTGGGTAAGTCCAATTCATATTTAGCAATGATTTTACAGACTGACAAGAATGTTTTATAAGTACGTAATAAAGTTGTAATATACACAGTTTTTTTTTAAGAACAGAATGCTTTCATGAATCTTGATGTAACTAGGGTGAAGAGTTATAAAAAAATCATGAAAACTTTGAGATTCACAAAAGTGAAAATAAATTACTTCACTTATTTGTGTATGTGGGTGCGTGTGTGTGCTCCTCATTCTCTATGCTCAGATTAGATATTGTAATGACTTTCTTTGTTGGTACAAGGAGATAATTTGGGATGTTGTAACAATACTAGACCTCTGTCTATTACTATCATTAATTGTCTCTCTCAGAACACCATCTCAAGAGATACTGAACTCATTAGACATTCTTTTTTTATAGTTATGTTTCTTTACACAAACACAGCCTTATACAGAGTTGATTGTGTTCTTAAACAAGAAATTAAGCTTCCTTTCAAGAATTATTGATGCTACTTTCAGATAATGCCATATTTTCAAATTCAAGAAATATACTTATTGGAAAGCAAAATATTTCTATGTAAAGGTCAATGGACAGTTTCTTAAAATCCAAGTTCAACAAGTTTTGATTTCTTACTAATATCGTCTAGAAATGAATATGCTTTACAAAGCTTTTCTGTTAGTGTATTTATTTCAGTTGTGCTGAAATCTTCTTTAGTAGTGTTTTATAGCAAAACAACACAAGTCTAACAAACACAAAAACTAAGGTAGTCAATATTCTATTAATACCAAGCTGATACAAAAATGACCTTCCAGTTGTTGAAATTCTAGGGGATAGGACTTTAAAATATATTCAGTGTGAAAAAGTCTGTGAAGAGCAAAAACTCTTCTTCAGCGATAACCACCTGATCAGGAAGTTAACCCTTTTCTAGTCAGTTTGATGTTCCTGCCCAATATTTTTTTGTGCTTTCTGACACCATTAGCAGTCATCCAGGTAGTTTAAAATGCACACTCACTTTACTGAGTACACAATCTTTGAGGTGAACAGTTCATGCTGTCACATTCCTACCTTCACACTGGTCTTTTGCTGCTGATAGCTGATAGCCCTGCCCGCAGGTACACCGGAAGGAGCCCTCGGTGTTTCTGCACTCCCCGTTTAGGCATAGATTCCCGTACTGGCATTCATCAACATCTGTAAACACAAAGAGCAGCAATGGTTTACATTAGGTCTCTTATCTAGGAACTACTTTGACTAAGCTTTGAGACCAAAACTTACTGCTGTGAGCCTTCCATTTCCAAGCTGGCCTTGTAAAAGATTTAAAAAAAAAATAATAAATAATCAACTGAGACATCTACAGATTGAGGAAAGAAGTACACTTAGAAGAATGGACTTGCCCTGAAAAATAATAATAGCATTTAAGTGATATGCTATAAATTAAGTGTTTCAAAATACCAATACTTTTGTTATTGACATGAGCATACAGAATAGAATTACTAACAGACAATAAATTCTGAAGAAACAAATATTTATACTACCACATCACATGTTGCCCAAGGGACTGATCCTTGGAGAAAGACATCACACTTGGAAAGGTGAAGGTACAGTACAGGAGAGGAAGACCTAGATGAGATAGATTGACTCAGTGACTGTGGCAATGGGGGCAGGTGTGTTGGAGACAGTGAGAATGGCCCAGGACAGGGTAGGGCCACTGTGCACAGGCAACTTGATGTCACAATAACAACAACTACCACATCAAGTGCCTTACCATCTTTCTCTTTCACCCTTACAGTTGAAAACATAATACAGAATCTTAAATACAAAATGGAAGCAGGAGTGGCATCTACTTCCTAAACCATATGTCTCTGGAAATTTTACGAACTTGGAGAAATGACGATAGTTACAGAAAGGCTTCAAGTCTTTTGTTCATTATGTCGCTATGAGTCATATTTGACTCTATGGCAATCAACAACAACAACAAATATAAAATAATGGATTCTAGGAAGTTTGGCAGCAAGAGAATTGCATGTTAAGAAAATGCAATAAAAACTCCGTAAGAATTTTAAAACAAAGAAAAATGGAGGCAATTATGGAGAGAAATATATATTTCTACTGTAATTAGAATGTAAAGAGGGCAAACTGGGCTCATTTCCAATTAACAAGGCAGGCTATGAATAGAAAAGTAAGCATTATGATGATGGCTGCTGTACTGGCCAGAGAAAGTGGTGGTGGTGGTGGTTGTTAGGCGCCATTGAGTCGTAGATGACTCACAGTGACCCTATGAACAAAAGACCTGAACACTTGTATAATTTTCAGTGTTTCTCTAAGTTCATAGAGTTTCCGGAGGCAAGCTACTTTGGAAGTGGATGTCACTCTTGCTTCCAAACTTGCTTTAATCAGGAGCTCCACCAAACACTGTCCACCATGGGAAACCATTATCACATTTGACACATCAGAGTCACACTGTTCAGTATCACAGCAACCACAAGTTACCTCTATACAACAAATTGCCAGATCAGTGATATACCACTTAGAAGAATGTTTGACCGAAAACAATTAAAGCCAGGCCCGAGGGCCACAGATTAAAATCACCCACCTTTGGCTTGGGAACAAAACTTTCTATCCACTAGACCAATAGAGCTCTCTCTATGAATCACAGCAATTCTGTGAACAATAGATCTAACCCTTACCCTATCCTAGCCATTCCTACAATCTGAGACATGCTCAAGCCCATTGCTACAGTCACTGTATCAATCCATCATGTGGAGAATCTTCTTTTCTTCTCTGACCTTCCACTAGAGAAAGTGGTGAGGATATTTTACAAATTTCTTGATTGAAAATAATGTTGCTGACACAGAAAGAATAAAATTCTTTATAAGAATTCTGCTGTATGTAGGGTTTTACTTGGTCAACTGACTAAAAGAGATCCATATTTCTTTCCATTCCAAAAAAAGGTGACCCAACAGAATGTGGAAATTATCAAGCAATATAACTAATATCACACACTAGCAAAATCCTGCTGAACATCACACAGAAACGAATGGAACAGTACATTGACAGAGAACTACCAGAAATACAAGCTGGGTTTAGAGGAGGTCATGGCACTAGAGACATTATTGCCAATGTCAGATGGATCTTGGCAGAGAACAGAGAGTACCAGAAGAATGCCTATCTGTGTTTCATTGACCATGCAAAGGCATCTGACTTTGTGGAATCACAACAAATTGTGGCTAACCTTGAGAACACTTGATTGTGCTATGTGAAACCTATACTTGAACCAAGAAGCAGTCCTCAGAACAGAGCAAGGAAACACGGTTTCAAAATCAGGAAAGGAGTGCATCAGGGATGCATCCTATTTCCATACCTTTTCAATCTGTACAGATCATTTGGGAAGCAGGGCTTTATGAGGAAGAGTGTGACATCAAGATTGGAGGAAGACTCATCAACGACCTACAATATGAAGATGACACAACCTTGCTTGCAGAAACTGAAGACCTAAATTGCTTGCTGCAGAAGGTCAAGGACTGTAATCCTCAATATGGACTGAAGCACAACATCAAGAAGACAAACATTCTCACCACTGGGCCAACTGGCAGCATCAGGATGGATGGAGAAGAGATTGAGGTTGTTAGCAATTACAGAGTGCTCAGATCCATAATCAACACTCTTAAAACCAGTAGTCAGGAAATCAAAAGATGAACTGCATTGGGAATATCTGCTGTTATGGAACTCCTCAGAGTGCAGAAGAGCAATTATGTCAGTCTAGATACAAAGATGTACCTAATCCGGGTCATGGTCTTCTCAATTACTTGTTATGCATCAGACAGCTGGACAATGACTAAGGATAACAGAAGAAAAATAGATGCCTTTGAGTTATGGTGCTGGAGAAGAGTCTTGAACATATCATGGACTGCCAAGAAAACCAATAGGTCTGTCTTGGAGAGGGTAAAACCAAGTCTCTCCTTGGAGCCTAAGATTTTGAAGCTCTGCCTCACATACTTGCAAGGATGCAGGGAAAGTGCAGGAGAGGAAGACCCCAATAGATGGATTGATACAGTATCTGGGGCAATGGGGGTTGGTGTGTCACAATTATGAGACTGGCTCAGGACAGGGACGAATTCAGAGCTGCTGTACATAGGGTCGCTATACATTGCAGGTGACTCAATGGCATGTAACAACAAAAACATGTTATACTGGTTGTTTTTTATATAAGCCTCTTGCTTTGAGCCAACAAGCTCTCAGGAAGGTCTTTGTATTTAAAGTTGATTGTTATAATATTTTGTAGGAACATTCTTCTAAGTGGTATTGCACTCTCTGTCAATATGCTGTACTGAGGTAACTAAATCAGGGTTGCCGTGATGCTCAACCTTGTACCATTGGGGTGTCAAATATGATCACAGTTACCTATGGTGGACAGTGTTTGGTGGAGGTTTGGAAGCAGGAGTGGCATCCACTTCCTAAACAGTATGCCTCTGGAAACTCTATGAACCTTGATAAATGATGATAGTTACAGAAAGGCTTCAAGCCTCTTGTTCATAGCATCGCTATGAGTCATGCTCAACTTGACAGCAATCAACCACAACAAAAACAACAACAACAGAATTCTAGAAAATGGATACAAAGTCATAAAGCAGAACTAAAAGACTGACGTCATCATTATTATCATCACTTCTGATTGAAGCAGAGATTCTTTATGGATGTTGTTCTTTGGCTATTGTGATTTGATCTAATTAGATAATTCTGTATTGAGATGTCAGTTCAGACTTTGTTGCTTCCAAAAAACAGCTAATGTAGCTGATTTGAGTCCATCGTCAGTTTTGCTGTCAAGTGAAATGACACACAGCAGACTCTCTGGCAGGTTTCCAGAGGTTGTAAATCACATAGAGGAGACTGTCCATATTTTTTACACAGAGAAGGTTGTAGGTTCAAACCACCTGCCACACCTACTAGGCCACCAGAGCTCCCTATGTAGCTGATTAGCTCTCTCATCATGTCTGACAACATATGCTGGACTTGTGACACAGAAGATACAGCTTCAGTATGTTCTGATGTCCTCGGAATATTACAGCTGGTTTATAAGAAAACTGAACTCAAACTCACTGCTGTTGAGTCAGAACTGATTCATATTTGATCCTCCAGTGGGTTTCCAAGACTGTAAATCCCACAAGGAGCTACTGGATTAGAAATGTCAGAGAAATGCCACCTTTGAGTTAACACAACTCCCTACAGACTACAACAGAACTTCTTTAGCCTGTAAGAATTTGTGATCAGCACCGCCCCAACCATTCATGAGATAGAGTGTAGCAGCCTGCCAGGGGAAGTTGGTTTCTGTCTTCTCTGTACACGAGCACCTCTAAGGACTATCTCAAACTTTAGAAAGGTGGGCTCAGGGTAGAGAAATCCCGAATAGGTTAGCGTAGCTGGATAGAGGTACATGCCCTGTTTCACACCAAAAACAAAAGTGATCCAGCAAAATACAGAAATTATAGAGCAAAAATGTGGAAAGTTAGCTGAAGAGTGTAAGGATGCACTGACATGGTGACTGCAATGATGGTCTTAAGCACTGCAGAAATTGTTAGGATGGTCTAGGACAGAGCAAGATTTCAATCTATCATTCATAGGGTTCATTGCTATGAGTCTTAGTCTACTTGAAGGCACCTACCAACAATGAATATTAATACCACATGCAAGTGTAATCTTTCTGAAGATTATTTAAAATGGTTAAATCAGCAATAAAATTCCAGAAATTCAAGCTTTATTAAGAAGGTGCCATTGAATGCAGGAAATCATGACTGACATCAAGTAAATCTTGACTGAAAGCAGAGATTATTAGAAATATGTTGATTTGTGTTTCATTGCCATTGCATAGATGTTTGACAGTGTAAGTCATAATAAATTATGAATTGCCGTAAGAAAAAAAAAGTATCATGTCCTATCTCCCTAAACTTTACAAGGGACAGAGAGAGTACAACTGCCAGGGGAAGAATGTCTTTGGATACTCTATGCACCAGCACCACCAAGGACAATTACAAACTTCAGAAGAGGTGTGCAGCACTCAGGCAAGATTCCTGCAGGGCTACACTCAAGTCAATACAGAAGTTGAAGCATTTATGAAAGGGGAGCTTTCCCACTGTACAGACCCAGAAAGGACTCCTGGCAGAGTGAGTTGCCCTCTCCCATGAAGGGAACACTTT